CAGGCTACCTCTGCTGACTTATCTGTTTACTCCTATTTTGGCAGCACAACACCATCCTCCCTGTACTGAAATATCCCTTTTAAGTGGAAATATCCTTTAACCCCTTCGTGACTGACGACGTACAGTGTACGTCGCCAGCATCGGGGCTGTTTAAACAGACTCCCGGCGACTTTTGCCGCCGGGAGTCTGTTTAAACTTGTAGAGCCGACTGTCGGCTTTACAACAGAAGCGATCCTGGCGACTTACCTGTCGCCAGATCGCTTCTGCGTCCCGAAGAAGGGGCCGCCCCCCCCGCCAGACACCCCCGCCGTGCTTCCCGGGCTCCGTTGCCCCTCCTACGGGCCCGGGACCGGCGATCTTTGTGTCCGCGGGGAGCTGGGGAGGAGGTCGACGAACTTCCGTTCATCGATCCCCTCCCCGTTCTATGCAAGGAAGGTTCAGACCCTCTAACAATTTTTATTGACGTCTGTGTCCACACATGAGAAATTCATCACTGTTTGTCTTGGTGACCATTGTCACTGATACAGAAAGTCAGGTGAAATCCTAAATTTATATTACCCCTCACTTCCTGTTGTGTTTCCAAGACAGGAAGTGAAAGAACATTTCCCTAGCAGGATACAGATTACAAGTAAAAAAGTAACCTAATAAGGGTCTTAACCCATCCATACTCTATCCAAAACCAAAAACAACATATGGGCTATACATACATTTTAAAGGTGACCAATATACTAAAGGCCACAGAGTGGTATAGGAAACTAAAACATTTTGGCAGCACAACACCATCCTCCCTGTACTGAAATATCCCTTTTAAGTGGAAATATCCTTTAACCCCTTCGTGACTGACGACGTACAGTGTACGTCGCCAGCATCGGATTTATATAACATGCAATACTACAAGGCTTTACACTGTAATGTTACATAAACTGGTCAAAAGCAGGGGAAGGCACTAATCAACCCTTTTATACACCTGGTAGCATGCTGTCTACACATTTGGAAAAACAATCTTCTCCATTCTAACCTGTTTGTGGCTTGTAATATCTGAAAATAACCATCTCAGCCTGGTGGTTTTACCAAAACTGCCCATTGTGGAACATCTGCTGTAGAGGTGACACTAATTCAAAGAACACTGGCTGCAGTAATACATCTTTAACAGGTTCTTTACTAGTGGTGACCACATTTCATACAAAGGTAGAACAAAATGTCACCATCACACCAGGCAATGTGTTCGAGTGTTCATCCTTTATTGACGCATGTTGTCACATTGAAGCACCGTTTCTGGGCCGCGCAGGCCGCACACTGTGCCTGATGAAGGGGACCCTGCGCAGCCCCGAAATGTTACTTCGACAACATGCGTCAATAAAGGACGAACGCTTAACCACATTGTCTGGTGTGCTGGCGACATTTTGTTCTACATTTGATGCCTGCAGTGCCATCCGCAGCCACTTCAGCACCCACCCTCAGGGGTTCTTCGGTAAGGAGCGCAGCAGGACATTACAAGTCAGCAAATTGAAAATGTTATGATTTTCCTTAACATTTGTTTATAGATTTGCTTAGTCTGTCTAGCTTTCTGAATTGTGTGATTATTTGCAGATCAGACACATTCAGGCGAAGATTTGCAAATGTCAGATTCTCCAGATCTGATTATCACTATTCTTTTCTTTGGCTATGCAGATGGATAATATTGAAACTGTCTGGTGTACAAGAACACATTTTCTGTCTGCTGTGCAGCTAACTAACTGTATGGTTGGCTTACAACTACACTCTGCAGTTTTCATGGTCTTCCAAATTCATATAATCAATACAAATTGAGGAGGCTACAAAATATCAGTAAGTAAGGACTTATTAGGAAGCCAAGTCCATGGAGCCAGTTTATAAAGCAGTGATTTTCTTTTTAAAAGCCTGTGGCACATTTATAAAGTACTCTTGTGTGTTTTATAAATGTGGTTAGCACTTGGCTTGCTTCTGGACTCTGAAGCAAGTAAATCTCCGTTCATTCTAATGAATGGGAAAAAAAATGTGTGGGAATGAGGTGGAAACCTGTCCTATGACCATGAACAGTGCTCTCCTCTTATTCACGAATGTTCTCTCCAGGGTTGTGGAGAAAACATACCATGAGGCATGTTAGGCTCCACATTGTATATTATATAAAAAGTACATTATAATGCACATCCTTAAACAAACATTGCAACAGTGAACACTCATTGATCATCAGAGATATGAAGATAGGTTAGCAGCACTACAAAATGCAAAGAAAATATCATTTATTGCACATAACATCACATATGTCAATAAAGCCAACGTTTCGGGGCCAGGCAGGGTTCCTTCCTCAAGGCAACAAGGGACCCTGCTTAGCAAATGTTAGCTAATTTTGACCTATGTGACTTTATTTGCAATAAACAATATTTTCTTTGCATTGTGGAGTGCTGGTGACCTATCTTCACAACTCTGAGGTTCTGCATGGCACCATCTGTGGCAGTCACTACGAGCACCTATCTTATCTACAATGGTCACAACACTGTATAGTGTGCAGCTGGGTCTTTCAACAATTCATTCATTGATCATAACATTTTCTTATGCTGGTAAACAAATTACTGTTATATATTATTTTCATATTGACATTATTTTAGATTAACTTATTTACCCATGACCTTAGAGTAGAGGTCATGGGTAAATAGAGTAGACTTTTACAACTTATTTTAAAGGCTAAGTTTGCCTTTCTGACAATGTTTCACGTTACATCTATATTCAGGATGTAACATGAAACATGGTCAGATTGCAACCCCTCCACCCCCATCCTGCCCCCTTACTTACCTGAGTCGCGAGAGGGGGGTTTCTCCCCGCAAGTTTGTGTTCATTTTTTTCTTTGGCGTGGCTGTGCATGGCTCCGTCTACACAGCCATGTCATCCATTCACAGATCCTTTGACAGGATCTGTGAATGGAGAAACTACAAGTCCAATCAGCCACTGCAGTAGAGGGACTTGTAACTCTCAAAGGAATACAAGTGCGGTGATGTCCACGCACTTGTAGTCCATTAATTCGTCCTCCTGTCCATGTTACTGAAGGTATGGACTTGGACAGAAGGAACAGTCTGCAGGAACCAGAGAATTGCGCCCGTGATCCACTGAAAACAGTTGCAATGCTTTACTGGCTCCAATGCAAAATAATACTAAATGCACATTTTTTCTTTTATGAAGAAGAGCTCATTTATTATTTTTTCTAAAAGATGGAATTTCCCTTTCAGTGCATATCTTTTATTCCTGTACATGCATATATACCCTCCTAGAAAATAATACAGTTATTTTCCGCTGTGTAACATGGTATATAATATGTTATTTAATATGTATGTAGCTTTATTAATGATTCTGACACCTCTCAAAACCTCAGGTTTTACCCCAAGACGTTAAAAAATATAGTCCATGTGTACCAAGACAAAAGATCATTCTGGTACTGAGATGTCACTTTTGGGGGGGAGGTCAGCTCAGCATAGTGTGTTTATACAGCCATGAGGAATCATGTCCGTCGGTAACAGGTACCGTGTCCTACACAGAAACATGTGCTGCCTTTTTCTTTATTCAAAAAACATCTGTTCTAAGGAGAATTAAATAAAACAAACTGGAATGAGTTAGCACTGCCATGAAGTGAAAGCAGAGAATGGACTGTATGGTCAGAAAATAACTACATATAAAGTGAAAACGATCTGGGTATGTAAAAGCAGTTTATAAATAGTTGTCCTGCAAGCTTGGGCCCCTGAGAATGATCTAAAGAACTCCACAAGAGGCTAAACTAGGGATGTGCCAATACCGATACCAGTATCGGTATCGATGCTGATACTGGGCACTCGTACTTGCATGCAGCCCTGGTGAGACGCGCACAACCCTGGTTTACGGGTCCAACTAGTCTAATTCAAGTAGAGCATTGCAGGAACCTGGACTGGAATGCGCTAACCCATAGCAAACATTTTCCATCTTACCATCCATTACCTGATCTAACTACAGAATTCCTATTAGCTGCTACGGGTTATTACATTTGTAGCACATATTTAAATAAGCCGGTATTCTGCTTAATATACCCCACAATCTTTTTACCATCATATATTAGTGATACCGAACATGGTGTTTATTAAAACTAGGAATGCACAGATATCAGTCCAGATACCAGTGCGATACTTGCCATTTTCACGAGAACTACCTGGGTTGCAGAAGTTTAGGGCCATGGTGGCACTCCACCATGGCCCTAAAATCATTAGTCTGTATTGTTTTAGAAAAACTGTCACATGACACACACACACAAAAAAAGTATCAGTTATCTGTGAGTACTTGGACAATTATCTGTACTTGTACTTGATCTGAAAAAAATGGTATTGGTGCACCCTAATCTCTCTCTGTCTCTCTCTCTCTCTCTCTCTCTCTCTCTCTCTCTCTCTCTCTCTCTCTCTCTCTCTCTCTATATCTATATATATCTCTAGTCCTGGAGCTAGAAATGTATCAGTACTTGTACTTGTACCACGGTACTTGGTATCTGGCATCCCTAATTAAAACCCAATAATGCAAAGAGACATGATGAGCGTAACATACTGCAACCAATCAAAAATCAGTTGTGATTAGCATTATGGCGCACTTACTGCTCTGGAGTACTGAACACTTTTACTTTCAGTGATATGAAATAGCTATGATTAAAAATGTATCATTATGCCACCAAAAATGCTGCATTTAATATTTGTTTACACAAACAATGAGTCCCTCTCAACAAAATGCATTCTGAAAGGTTATGTCTTATTACATAAGATCCACTTGTAGATCAAACAATGCCGTAATGTTAGTTTAACAATGAAGGTATATTCGCATTGTCTAATGATTAAAAAATATTGAATCTTAGTAAAAATTACTGATAGATTTGGCAATTGCAATTCCATCTGGGAGTATTTTTATCATTAAATGAAAAAAATAAAATTCTGTGACTTACTAAATTGATTCTTTGAAATGTTATAAAATAACCTCACCTTGTGTTTTGTTTTGCTCAGACGAGCTTGCGTTTTCCTATTGGTCTCCTGCACCCTTATATAAGTTTTCCTTTTCTCTTTGCTTTTTAGGTGAGTATTTTCCTTTTCTTCAGTTTTGGTCATTTTTTTATGAATCGTCGTCGGTTGCTTTGTAGAATTTTGTTTCTGCGGCAGAAACTCAAACAATGCAGACATATTGACTTGCTTCATTACTAAATTAATCACACTTTGCATGCCAAGCAAAATGCATTCAACTCCTTCCAGCCTTTTTGCTTGTTGCTCTGAATATTTGTTTATTAAGGAGAGATAGCTTATCATATCCACAAAATGCCCTTTCATGTCTAAGAAAGCATCTTTAACGTCGGTATGTTTGGTGGCATTGTCAGTTTTAGCACTCTCTGTTTTGAACTTTTGAAGGTCTTTTGCAATGTCCACAATATCCCGTGAAATATGTTCAATCTTTTCAGAAACATCGTTGTTTCCCACCAGAAGCGTGTCAACTTTATTGTGCAGGAAGTCCAGCTTTGTGTCCATGACGTCTTTGCTTGTTGGTGACTTTGTGGCTACCGGAGTCTGTGATGCTTTTTGTGCTTTGGCAGGCCGTTGGTTCTGTAAAGCTTTCGGATCATACCTTTTGGCCAGGGAGTTCACCAGTGATGAATTGGAAATCTTAGCGGCTGCGCTCATACTTAATGCTTAGTCAGTGGAAATCTATATTCTGCTGAGAAGACGAAGCTCTCTGTTTTCTCTCTGTGTAAATCACAGCTGTTTGCAGGCCAGTCTAAACTTGAAGCAGATCCTCCTCACATGGCTTCTTGTTCATCTTTGTAATTGTAAAAAAAACTAACAAGAAGGGACAAAACTGTTTTGGAAGGAACAAGTGGTCCCCTTTACATTCAGTTTAAATATAAATAGTGAAGGGAGTGACAACTGTAGGTCCTAAATCCCCTCTGCTCTGTTGACGTCACATTGCGTACAGGGAAGGGGGTCTATTCCTACTTCAATGTAACTTGACAGCAAGAGGCCTGCAAGACATTTGAGAAGTCTCCTTCTGAACAGGCTCTGTGTAGTTCTGTTCTTGCATGTCAGATTTATGCTTGTTTTACGCAACTTGATACTAGTGCTCAAAGAATAAAGCCCCTTAAAGACTCTCAAAAATTGATAGGGATAAATGGTTTATAATAAAAAAATAAGCCAATATATCAAATTAATTAGCTCTATGATTGACAGTGAAAGATTGCTCCTATTTTTTGTGTGCAAAACACATGTACGTTAAAAGGTTACAACCCAATCACATTATTGTCAACTACATGATGGAAAATTCCTTTTTATTTTTTGTTGTTATAGTTAAAATAGTTATAGTTGTTTGGGTGCTGTGTGAATATGTAGCCCACTGGTTACATGGTAGTCTTTACCAATGTGATCACAGCCTACAACTTTACCAACAGCAAAATGTTTATAGTAGTTATATCTTATCTGTCACAATCTGAGAACTGTAGCACCAGGAATCGTAAACTCCGGGTCATGCGGAGCAGTATATTGCGACTGAAATAGGAATGCGCAGGGATACAGGTCTGTGAAGATGCAGGGACAGCGTGACCGCACAACAAATGAGAGCCGCAGCTCCTAGGTTGCGGCCCTCTGACACACCGATGCAGGCACAAGTGCCAGTGGGTACATAGGGATAACAGCACACTGGAAAATCCACAGGGAGCACATAGGATACAGGGTACAGAAAAGGGCACTAGAGGGAACACGAGAAGAAGGGTAACAGAAGGGAACACACAACAGGTGTACCAACAGGGACAGGAGATACACAGGAACTGCAAAGGGGAATGTACAGGAGAAAGGAGAGAGGTGCACAATAGTGCAGAGTGAAATAGACACAGAAAGCAGGTGCAGGAGGCAGAACACAAAACAAAGCAGGAAACAATGCTGTGGAGAGCACATATAGCCACAGTACAACAAAGAGGTACACGGACAGAAAACAGAGGAAATACAGGAGCACAGCAGGAAAGGAACACGGCGAACACAAAGCAAACTGAATACAGGCTATACTCAAAAAACAGCAAACGCCACAGAAAACAGGGAGGGCCGGCTACTAGTGTGGAGACACTTTGCTTGAACGCTAACCCACAGGTGCACAAGCTTTTTGACACATGGGTTCAGGGTGAATCGACAGGAAACCGAGCAGCTCGGACAGGGGGCAAAACCCGGCGCCTGATCAATGTACAAGGAACTATGACATTATCCTGGGATATTAACCTGTCTTATAACGTATAACCAGTAACACAAATAATGGCCTAAGTGATATTAAAGAGCAGAAACAATGTTCACAGAACTCACTGTAGTATTCAGGTATGACAAAGCTGGGACTTTCAGTATAGAAGGATGCCGCATTGTAGCCCCACTATGGCATCCATAAGTGGTCGACAAACTAGGGCATATGTATAAATGATTTTGTGTTACCACCAGAAGAAAGGAATACCATATCCTACACTTGTAGGAAACACATGTTTGTCATAATAAGGCAGCATTGTGCATCCGCTCTAATACATCAGTAACATGTGAGTAGGGTTCTGAGGGAAGGGATGCTCCATCAAAAAACTAGATCAGCACATTTAAGAGTATACAACTATTCCAGATGTCAAGAGCGGTGTATCTTTACTATGATGGTAAATACCTTCTAGGGTGAACCAGTGCATGGAATCTTCTGGGGTGAACCAGTGCAGGGACAGTGACTGCATGTGAGTGTTGTCTGCCATGTCAGCAGCCATGGTGGAGATAAGAATACTTCTTTAAATTCTTGGCAAAGAAATGAACCCTCTATTATACAAAATTATATTTCTCTTCTATGTTCAGTTTGGAGATGTTCTGCCTACTAAGCACCCTAAAACTTTTTATCATGATGAATGTGTGCATTATAAAAACGTTCAAAAATGTCACCATAAAATGGGAATTTTTATGATACAAGGTGCTTTATCAAACTAAGTGTCATCCAGTTGTCTAAAAGTCACAATATCAAATCATTGTAGGCCCCATCTGTAAATCAGAGGTGCTAAACTGCCAGTGGTTATCAGACAAATAGTTGAAGCACATGCTTCTTGCTGTATTTGTGCTTGGCCAGGGTTTGACCCTGTGATCTCTGTTACTATGAATTAGTTGTACTGGGAATCGAGAAATCCTCAGACCACCAGCATTAAACACTTCATAATTCTCTCTAGACAATAGAAAAAAAGAATCTAGCAAATAGGATCACCAAAGGTATCCCTGCTAAACACTAAATCCTAAAATTAGGAAGCCAACTTCTATAATACCATTAGAGAATGGATCCAGCTGACCCATTTCTTTTATAACATTTCTAAACTTCATATAGTGGGTTTTTGGGAGCTTCAGCATAAAACAAGACTCACATCAAGTCCTCAATAAGAATGGTTTGAGAAAAACAGCCCAAAGAACATTGAATACTTTGCTGAATGCGTAGAAAAATCATCAAATACTAATAAAAGCTTCATATGAAGAAATCAAGGTGAAAACAAGTAAAATAAATTGATCAGCATGCTACACTTTTTCTGTATTTTTACTGGGCTTTACCCATGCCTATATTTTCCCTTTCCCTCAATATGCAGTCCATAGAATTCTGACTGAGGTAAAATGTATTTCAGGATATGTCCACACTGGACCTTTGCAGTAGCTGTGTTATTAGCTAAACAGTTCACAAAAATAAGATTAGTTTTATACCAGGTACCTTTTGTAAGTGATTGCACTGCTGTCTTGCTCTACTGTCCTGCTAAAAAGCAAACAGTAAAATAAAGCTGCAGAATGGATTTTGCAACAAGATTGTAACAAGATAATAATCTCTGGAAAGCATATATTTAAGGGCCTTACTATAGCCATAGAAATGACTATGGAGCCCAAGAGTGGGACCCAAGCCAGGTGTTAGCTTCAGTAGGTTGAACATAGAGGTAATCTCATTACCACTAACCTGTAGAGCTGTACAGAAAACCTTAATGCCCCTGCCAAGGCTGATTACAAAGATCAACTCTTATGCATCCATTGACAATGTCATCACATGACTAGGCTGCACCAGATGCATTGGACTGGTTCTCTGTAGTAACCACCTCAGATGGGGCAATGATTGCTTCCACAACTTTACAACATATGGGTGGATGCCTATTGCAAACTCTGCACACTGCAGGTCCGCCAGGGTAATAACTCCATTTGGCAGTGTTTTAAAGCAGTCTTTATGTGGCAGGCTCTTCAGGCTCTCTCTCCACATGACAGGTTTTCTAGTTAGTCTTTCTATGAGGAAGGCTCTCTCAGAATAATCTCTTTTCAGGTAAGGCTCTTTTAACTAGACCGTCTCTTCTAATCGCAGGTTCTTCAACATGGTAGTGCAATTGTGGCATATAGTATAGGTACTACAGATTGTAAGCTCAAAAGCTCAAGCATTAATTATTTACCTATGGACTCTTAAAATCACACTCAAATTTGACTACTGCATTTTTAGATACAATGTACTTCTGTTACTGCATATTTATTATAACACACACTGCACTTTCTGCAACAAGCGGGCCCCATCAAAATTTAGCTTTGAGGCCTAATTAATTGTAGCCAAATTCCAGTAAATATGTATAATTTGTCTCAGCGCAGAAAAAAGATTTGAAGTAGCACAAGATCAAATCGGACGTTGCACTAAAAATGCAAGATCCACTTATCTATTCACAGCCCCCCCATGCCAAAAGTAAAATAAATAAAATCATGTGGAAAAAAAGACTTACTTACCTTACCCCAGTTTCACCTGTGCTGCTTAGGTTAGGGGAAATCACTAACCTTCTAGCATGATTGAGAGGAATACTAAGTACACTATGCACTATGCTGGAGCATCTTCTTAAAAAGTTTAAATGGTGATGTCACCCGCTGCAGTATGGAAACTAGAGTAAGGTCATTTTATTTTACTAACCTTTGTTTTGCCACAGTTTAAAAAAAACCTGAAGCATCAAGATTTGATGGCAAATTAGGAACTGGTTATGGAGACATTTCTGTTTCTGTTTCCTATTTTTTTAACCAAAGCACAGTTATAAATGGGCGCTTAATTAGACACCCCTTGTTTCAGTCACTATATGCTCTGAGCTGTAGGGGAACATTTTGACTGAAGGGAGGGCATTCTAACCCACTGCAAAGCTTGGCAGGTACCCATCTTTGGTGCTGTTGACAGTCAGAGAAGGACAGTCTTTAGGTGCACAGTTTAGAGTAGAATGAAGCAATTAAAAACTTGCCAGGTAATTTTCTACATTTTCTATGAACTAGTAGCATATTGGCATTTGTTTTGGTAAATGTTCTATTCAAGGAAACAACTTGGAAGCTTTTGCCATGAATAAGCATAATCAAATCCAGAAGTGTTAGAATTTTAGTACTCTATATATGAAAGACCCTCTGTGTACAGGTGTAGTCTTGTTTGGTCAGTCAGAGCGCTTGTTGTTTTAGGTCCAACAAAAATCCAGCAGCAATTATCCCGTCTTCAAAGCCTACGCTTGTGGTAGAATCACTAAAGTTTAAGAGTGCCACCTAGCAGTTCATGGTTTTATTTCACTGTTTTTAGCTTTTTTCAAGTTCTAACTTAGTCAGACCTTCCAACTGTAACTCATTTAGAGGAGCTGTCCATTTTTTGTTGGAACTAAATCCCA